TGCGTGATATATACAAACAACAAATAGCGTGTGTTCCATTTTCACTCTCGTCCATCACAGACTGTTTCACAGACTGCTTCACATAACGACTTATAATCGAAAACATGTGCGGTACTGGAAAATAAAAAATAATAGCTGTCTGTGTGTGCCTTCTTCACTTCTGTTTCGCTTCTCATGCACTGATTCGCTAAACTGAACAGCCAATCAGAGTGATTTATTTTGCCGACAGCCTTTTGCTGACAGCCTCCCGATTCAACATGTTGAATCGGCGGTGGAAGGTGTCGTCACGGCCCAAAAGACACGACGGTGCGGGACACACCAATCTGAGTAGGGCGACAGGACGCTCATCGACGGCCAGACATCTATCGACGGCCGAAATCGGCTCGGTGTGTCAGGGCCTTAACTTGACAATGTTGGGATTGAACACTTCCCACTGTACTTCATCACAACATTCTTGCTTGGAAGGAGAGTTTGGCTTCTCCTGACATACAACCCCGTGTTTCAGTGTCCATCTATTTCTGTGTCACACACCGAGGCCCATTAGGTCTCAGCACGTTTCGTGGTAAGTCTGGAGCTCAAACATGGTAAGGAAGAACGTCCACATTTAGGCATGACATCATATCCAGTAAGCCTGCTGCTACCAAGGCTCATGCGTCTTGTCAGTGCAGGGCGGCAAGGCTGTTTATCATCGTAGCCGAGAGCCAAACTCCATCGATCACGGAAACCCACAGGCTGCTAAAGTTCTTTTCATATTGACTGATTTCAGGTCTGCTTCCATTTCTCTTCAGCAGTTAGGAAATGAGCTTGTGATGGCAGGATTGATGGCTAAGCCTGGTGCAAAAAAGGGAACAGAAGCCTCTCCTAAAAGCTTCTCAAACCCATGAATGCAACTGGTAAATGGACAGTGTTTATGTTTCATTTTATAGTCTTTGCAAGCCTGCTTTTTACATATATAAGTCATTCACTCATTCATACCGAGGCATCTGCCATAGAAGGTGCCACATGCTCAGGGAGAATAACATAGACAGACATTCACTCACCATTGACCATGCCATTGGGAGCAACTCAGGGTAAAGTATCTTGCCCAAGGAAACATAGACTTGTTGTCTGCAGAGGCTGGAATTAGAACCACGAACCTTCCGATTGGTAGACGACCACTCTACCTCACAGCCTCCAACAGACCCCTTAATCTGTCCATCATGTATCAGGCAACTAAGTAACCATTAGCTTTTCCCCTCTCCTGGACATGTACACATCGGTAGCAAGGCCAGTTATACTATAAACCAGCAGATAAACTTGTCTACGGCCACATCTTTGACCCACACCAGACACTTGTCTGTGCAACACTGCTGTAAGATTGACCGCTGATAGAGCTGCAGACTGGCAGTCAGTCAGGCATGACAGGAACAATAATGTGTGTGAAAGAGGGAGCAGCTCTCCCAATTATTTGTGTCCGAGCTAAGCCCTTACCTGCTTTGCGGCAATGAGCACTCAGCGCTAATTTGGGCAACTCTCACCATAGCTCAAAGGGGGGGGGAGTCACTCACATATCTGTGTGTCTCTGCAATGTGTGTATTTACATGTTTAATATCCCAAAGGTGAAAGTGTGTTTCAGGTATGAAAGTGAGCGAGTGTAAGAGAGCCTCTGTGAGAATGAGTCTCCCTAATGTTTATTGCTGGCCACAGAGTGGTTTCAAATCCCATTATGTATTGGGAAATCACTCTCTCCCTACCTTTACTGCTCCTCTAAGCTCCGCTGTCTGGAAAACTAAGAAGGCAGGGTGCAGTCTGGGGTTTTGCACGAATAGTCAGCTGGATGATTGGACAGGCGTATGTCCCAGATCTACAGCTAACCTCTATTAGCTTTATAGGATCTTCTATCTGAACTTTAAAGTAAAACAAATGTGGGGTCATGTCTGTCTCTACTACAGTGCTGAAAGTGAGTTATCCTAAATCCTGTTTAGTATAGCTTTTCTACAAATGCATGATCATTTAACAACACTGATTGACAATACCAATTATTAAGGGATTACCTAAATAGATTTGTTTTCATCTGTGTTGTAGGTTTAGTTTTTCTGATGAAATTCAAATACATGAGAAATACCTCTTTAAACCATCGTCAAATGATTGGGGACTTACTTACAATTGCATACAGTCTAAAATGACTTGTTATTACAATGTTAATGCTGTAATTATCTCTAACAAAACCTCATTCTTAAGCTAATTTCCTGGCTCGTGTTCAACAATAAGGTCTTATTTTCACACAGCTCTATCTGTAAACACTAGTACATTATTTTCAATCTATGACCTGCAAACGCATTTCCCCTTCTGATACAATTACATATTTATAGCACCTTTTGTGTTCCATAGACAAAGTGCTTGCTTTGGCTTAACTATGCATTTAAATGTCTTCAACTAACAGGATACTAAGAGGTTTTTGGTATATCCTGTGAGTCAAAAAGGAAAAAGAAAAAAGTCCTGGTAACAGACATGACAGTTTTACCAGTTGTATTCCATTCAGGAAGGAAGTACAATAAAAAAAGTGTATGATGCGTTTGTGATAATAGAGAAAAAGGATCCACAATAAGTACAACGAAAAGGGAGGGGCTGAGGTTCAGTGATAGACTATGAGCTGTTACAAGAGTCTAGACTAGGCTGCACATTATCTCTGAAGAGATCAGGCCCAAAGGGAAATCTGGTTACTTTTTCCACTGTCCTCAATAGTCAACAACACAACATTTGTTATCCACAGTTGGCGGACACACACTATTCAAACAAAGTGGATATCTGTCTATTCAACTCAACACTATAAAAAGAGTCAGGTCCAATAACAAATGGTATCTGATTAGGAAATCCACATGAATCCATTTTGAATGAGAGGCAGTAAAATCCCCAGCTTCAGGGGTATCAAGAATTGTCTAAAGTTGGATGCACAAACATTCAAAACAACAATACTTACACACAATTAAAGCTGTTATTCTTAGACTATACTATAGAGCCAATGTTAGGAAGTGTGACTTTTATAGCCATGTCATAATAACACTGATACACAGACAGACTGATGACTGTGAATGAGGTTTTGTTTAGTTTCTGTCTGACCTAGTTGTCTGGTCTGCCAACCCCGAGGCATTTAATAACCCAAATGTATTTCCGAGGTATCTCAGCATCTTACTGCCCCACCTTACTGTTGGGTAATCTCACGTTTGTGTGTATGTGTGTCTGCACTAGATTATTTTATATGCATTGTGCAAGTTTTAACAGTCTCTAAAATGGTATTGACACAATGAGACATGAATTTCTCAAACAAAACAATATAAACTAATCTTTCCTGGGTGTGGTGTCTGCTCATACCTTTCTTTGAAACTTTAGGCGACATGCAGGTGCATACATGTCTTGTAGAATGTGTACACTGTGAGACGTAGGTTGCAAAATTAGCTGTGTTTTGCTAAAAATGTTGTCTAAAACACACACACACACACACACACACTCACACACAAATAAATGTATTTTCTCAACAAGGCGACAGGCGCAAAGAAAGGGTTACCTATGTAATGAACAACACATGTCTGGCCCTTCTTTGGAAATGTTCTTCCTGTCAAAAAGAAGAAAAAGAAACATGTGTTATTGTTTGTCTGTACATGTACTACGAGACTTCAGGTTTATCTTTAAAATTAACAATCACTGGGTTAAGTCTGGTGAAGTGTCCCTGGCAGGAATGCCATTCTCTCTTCGTGCTTGCAGACATTTGAAGTCAGATATGCATCTGTTATTAGTCCCATCGTCATTTTGAAACTTAACACTGGAGGCATCTTTTTTTAGGGGGCAATCGAAAGCCTCTAAATGGGTTATTAGTGCGTTTGATAGAGAGAGATAACTGCGGAACAGTCCTCCATGTCTAGCACCTGATCAAACCTTTATCCTGTCTGCCAAATCTCAGATAGCTTATATTACTTGCAGGTTATACTTATCACAGTTCACTCGTTTAACAGCAGCACCGTCAAGTATGGAGAATTATAGAAAGGAGTCATGCAGGCGTCAGAGATGGTGAATACATGGGGTATACAGACCCCTATTTATGTGTAACTAATGTCCTGCAGGTCACCCTTGAAAAAGAGATCTTTTGATCTCAAGGGGCTTTCACCTGCTTAAATAAAGGCTACAAACAAACAAACAATCCCGAATACTACGTTACTGTTAGTATCTTGCTAAATATTTTTAACATATTAATTATCTTTCCTGCTTTTACATTAAACTTCATATTTTATGTAAAGCATGTTGACATTTAACCAGACATTCCGGCGAACTACAGAGCCCCAAAACCACCACCACCACCCTCGCATCAAAGCACACACAAGCGGATCAATCAACCTACCATCACCGGGAGATATTGTCTCGACGTCCACGCCCATGATTGTACTACTTAAAAAATGTGCTCGAACCATGAAACCTTAAACGCCGTTATGGAAGCAAATGTTATCCGTTTTGCGGCTACAAGTCGGACTGTATCGGTGGGAACCATGCATTCAGCCAACACTACCGACCCGTAGCTTCAGCCAACCGTGTGGGGCAGCAAAGATATTTTCTGTCGCGAGACAGCGTCAAGATTACAAACTGTCTGCACCACGCACGTCGTCTCCAGCGTTGCGCCACATGGTGGAGCTATGTTAAGCAGTTGTGTTATTTCTCCTCATTTACTTTTTATCTAAGTAATTTTTCACAACCAATATTTCGTTTAAGTTTCCCTTTAATGTCAATTATTTTTGTATTAACACAAGCAGCGACAACGAGCTGGCAAAGTGGCAAACATAAAACGACTATAATCCAACTACAGTTCCCAGAGTGCACCTACAATGTCTGCTGGTTTTGCTTCCGAGTCAAATAGATATGACCATTTCAGAAACATTTTCAAAACGTGATTTTTAGAGGATGGGAGACTCGCTGTGTTTCACGCAGACTCCACATGAGATGCTGGTGGTTTTATAAGGTACGTATAGTAAAATTACATGTCCGTCTGTATTTTTACTGCAATTATTAGTTAGCATGCTGCATGTTTACAACATAATGAGTTACGTTGGTAGGACATTTTAAACTGCGTGTCATAATGGTGTATACGTTTATAACTTTTACATTTTGACCACTTATGTGAAGTAACTATATCCTTGCCTAAGTACATTTGTCTTAAGTAATTTCCTGCAACTTCTCCATACTGTTGTTATACATTTACATATTGTAACAATTCTCAATTGTATTTAACTTGCAAACTGACTTTTAAATGCAATGCTTGTCTTTTTCTGTTGACCTCTGATAATAGAGAACATCTCTATTTGATAAGGGGGCGACCTAATTAACTCAAAGCGATCAAGGCAGATTCGCCTGATCTAAAATAGGAAATGCTGTAATGACGAGGCGCTCCTTCTCAACACATTGTATTGTTAATGCCCTCAAGACCTGACAAGACCAGTGTGTTGAGGTCATTCAGGCATAAGCCGCTATAAGTGTTCGTCACCACCACTGCCTCAGCTCAGGCAGAAGGGATTAAGGCATGTACTTGGAAGGAGAAACGAGAGGCTTTTCTTAATCTGCATAGGTAAAGGCATTAGCAAGAATACTGCTTTGCAGGACCTGATCACACCAGATTCAGTTGTCTCTGTCATCAATGTTCTGACTCATTTTTGTGTTTCTCTTTGAACAAGGTTCTTAATACCTGCCAGGATGGATCTTGGTAAGGCAAAGCTGCTTCGGACGGGTCTCAACACTCTACATCAAGCTATCCACCCTGTGCACGGGATAGCATGGACAGACGGCAAGCAGGTCTGCCTGACATCTCTTTTCTTCGTCAATGGCGAGGTGCATTTCGGGGACACTAACGTAATTGGGCAGTTTGAGCATGTCCTTGGGCTCTTTTGGGGCCCGCTGTGCTGCTCTGACTCTCCTGCCTTGCTGGCTGTTCAGCACAAGAAACATGTTACCATGTGGCAACTGCAGCTCAGTGCGCTGGAGCAGAACAAACTGCTGTGCACTCAGACCTGTGAGATGAGCGAGCCCTTCCCCTTGCTCTCCCAAGGCTGTGTGTGGCATCCTAAATTGGACATTCTGGCTGTGCTGACCAAGAAGGACACTAATGTGCTTTTTTCTGTCAGGGTGGACAACAGGAGAATTAAAGCGGATATTAAAGGTAGTGGACTTATCCACTGTGCATGTTGGACTAAGGATGGTACGCGCCTGGTAGTGGCTATAGGAAGCTCTCTACACTCTTACATCTGGAATGACATCCAGAAGAGTCTTGCTGCCTGCTCTTTTTGCCCCATTTTTGATGTAGGAGGCTACATATGTGCTATCGAGGCCACGGGAGAGGCTCAAGTAGCTGTAGCTACAGAGCTGCCTCTGGATAAAATATGTGGGTTAAATGCAGGCATGGCCTTCGAAATACAGCCAGAGGCAGAGTCTGTGCAGGGTGACGGGTCTAATTTGTCAGAAGAAGACATTCCTCTGGACTCGAGAAGACGGTCTTTTGATTCAGATAGGTCATACGTCCCTTGTTCAGGCCCCTTAGATCTCACCCACCTCCTGGCCAGGCATCGTCGCTCTGACCCCAGCCCCATTATTCACCTGCGTCGCAGAGACACCTTGACAGGCACTGGTCAGGACTCCTCATACCTCATCCTGGTCACCTATGAGCGTAAAGTCACCACAAGTCGCAAAGTCAGTATCCCAGGTATTTTGGTTCCAGACATTGTGGCCTTTGACCCACGTGGCTCCACCGTCGCCGTGGCTTCCAACACCTGCAACATGGTGCTTGTGTATTGCATTACAGCCTCTGCCATGCCGAACATTCAGCAGATCTCTCTGCAGACAAACGAGAAACCTAAAGGAGTGTGCTTCCTCAATGACAAGATGCTGCTGTTGATGGTGGGCAAGCAGAAGTCCAATGACCCTGCCTTTCTGCCATCGTCTAACACGGATAAATATATTCTTCGACTCATAGTTAAAGAGCTGATGCTTGATGGTGAAACTTCTGTCCCACCTTCCCCCTCTCCTCTCAACCATGAGTCACCTTCAAATTTCTTCGCAGGGATTAGAAGGCACTCAGAGCACCAGTCCAAGGATAACAGGGAGCACAGAGGGATAAAGGATTTGGTGTTGCCTGGAGGGGGAGTTGTTCGCTCACCAGGCAACAGGCGTAGGCTGGTGGAGGAAGTGAGGAGTGGCGAGCCCAGCCCCGTCACCAGCTCCGTTGAGTTCTTTGAGCAGACATCAGCCACATCCAGTGCCTCCTCCATCACAGTTGAGAATTTTGACATGGAGCATGTCAACCGCATGACCAGCCTGGCAGTGGCCGGCCAGCCCAGCAGGGACCCCAGCCGGACCAACTCTCCTCGCCCCGAGCCGGTGGACAAACTCCACACAGATGCCACACTGCCAATGGCTGAAAAGACACCAAGCCAGGCCAAGGAGCGCACGCTGGAGCAGCTCGTTCATAACATGGAGAGGCTTTTTACTCGCTTTGCAGATGTACAACAGTGCATGGGAGAAATCAGAGATTATAACCAGAATGGCAAGAAGGCCCTGAGTGTCTACCCCACTGCCTCTGAACCCCCCTACGTCAATGTCACATGTCAGGTATAGTTTAATTAAAATGTTTACCTCCATTTTCTCTGTGTATTTGTAACTGGCTATGCTTGGATTATAATTACCCAGCTATAGAGATGAAGATTCCCTTTCTTCTACAATCTCTGCCATTAGCGGCTTTTGATTGATAGGCTTAAAGAGCTTAATTAGCGGGAATTTAAGGATGAGACAACGTAAATACCTGGAATTGTTTAATGTGCTCCAGAAACACAATGACTGTGTGTTTCCATGTCAGGTATCAGATCAAGATAGATCTGTTATAACAGCATCCAGTTTAACTTTCTTTGACTGTTTCTCTTTGCTGTCCTCATTTGCGCATTTGCAGAAGCAGTTATCAGAAAATGTTTTCATTGATGAGCGGAGGCCAGTGCTGCTGTGTGACGGGAAGCTGTGTCTGCGTGCCCTCCAAGAGCTCTTCAACCTCACCATTGTTGAGATGACATATGGTATGCAAAGATTATTTTTGCCTCAATTCATTTAAAAGTAATTCCAATGATTTAGTTGCCTTCAGTTTTGTCCTTAGATCATTTTTTCTATACTACAAAGTGGTATATACACCACCCTTTTCTTGCCTGTGAGATTAACAATGGGTGTACGGAGTAGATTAATTCAAACGACTTAGAGGAAAGTCTTCGAAGGCCACTTCGGAAGTACTACCCCGCTATGAGTATTTTCAGCTAGTTTGTGTGACGAGCTACCCTAGTGACATAATTTTAACGTCATCAGATAATTTTGTTGTCCAAGTTTATGTCGTTACTTCTTTAACTTTTTTAAATCTTTAAATAACCCAAAGTGATTAAAAGCCTAGGTGAGATTACGAGGTTTAAACAAAAGCAGCTTACTACTTTTTAATGAGCGTAGTGTATATCTGTCCTTAAGTGACATACTATCAGTAATGGATATCACAAACGGCATTGGATAATTAATCTCAGATGTGTAGAAATCCATGCTTATGCCAATGGTGTTGTTATTTTGCAGGTCCATTGTGGATTGTGCTTGTAGCAGATGCAGACGGCTTTGTGCCTCTGACGTTCAAGCCCAAAGAGGAACTCACAGTGCGCAATGGGAAGCGAAAAAGTATGCTACGTACTCCTGGGAGTCCAGATAACTCCGTCCCCTCCAGTCCGGCCCCCTTCCAGACCTCCAACACAACCTCAGAATTCTCTTAACACACAAAATGAAGTATAATTGTTTCTGAAATATATCTGACTCCATCCAAAAGGCAATAGGTATGGCACAAATGCTTCAGCTATGCAGATAACCAGTGTTTTATAAATACTTATTTACAATTACATCTATTTTTCTATTCTCTGTATAAAAGGGCTGCCTATTCATATTGAACGTGTTGCTGCTTTAAAAAGAAAGCCTACCTGAAAGAAGTTTGAGCTCCATGTCATGTTTTTTTATTTTATTTGTTTTTTGACGGAATGCAGTGCTCTACTTCCTGATATGTTTTATGAATGCTGCTGTCCTGGTAGGAAAACCGATAGAAGTAACACTTATGATGTATATTTGTATTGGAATGTATTTGTGATAACTGCTGCATTAGAGAAATTCAGATTTTACCCATCAAATCTCTGGATTGGCACTTGGCTGAATAGTCCCACTCAAATTAATGTTTCACCAAGTGTAATTTAACCTTGTTACATAACACTCAGCTTTACATTTTATTATATTTAAAATATGAATCACTTCTGAATATTTATAATGCCAAGCTCTGTATCACAACTGACCACTGGAGGGGGCAAGACTCAACAGAAACACTGGTTACAAAGATTCTACAGAAGACCAGATAAGTGTAAATGTACCTTCTTGAGAAATATATATATTTTGACCCTTTGAATATTAAATATCATAAAACATGTGCATTCCTGTCTGTTTTACTTATTGATCTTCAACAAAAAAACACAAAGACCCACACTTATTCGGTCTACCAACCAACCTCTACAACATTTATTCATTTCATATCATCAGCCCTCAATAATCATAATATCATAAATAAATAGAGCTAAACACAGCAAGAAATTATATACATTCATTTATATAAATTAGGTAATCTTATTATATATATTTTATATATTCAAGATGACTGTACAGTACATGTGAAAAGGGAACAATGTTTACATTCAAACAATTTAACTAATTATCAGTGTAATATACACTAAGGACAACTTTCCAGCGGCAGCACTGGAATACGTGGCTTTGTGAATTCACTTCATTCAGGATCCAGGTCACACGTTACTCAAATCCTCCATTGTTCTGGAGCTGATGCTTTGTTTCCTGGGGGAGACACGACAACACGTCAGGACAAAGTAGGAAAACATTGCTACTGTAATGGATTTTTTTAGTAGTAGTAATACTTCTTCCACCACCGATCAATAGTAAATGTGAATAGCATAATGGCACAGCGAACATGCTTATAACAAACATTGTTCCCTGGTTCATATAAGGAAAGAACAGTTATCATAACATATATAGTATGCCTTTATGTAGAAATCCTCCTTATTCAATTTGTAACATAAAACAGAGAAGAGCTGACTAGCCATGGAGGACTCACTAAATCACAATAAAGAAAGAATCTAAATGAATCCAGCAGCGTATGAGATATCCAGACTCTCATTGGTCAAGCTCCCACTCCTACAATTCTCAAAATGCAACTCAATGCTGTGTTTTAAATCATATACTTTTTATTTTTACATTGACTATGTACTGCAGCTGCCCTTCCAAAGTACATACTGTTGCATGTAGTATGCATACTATGAGGACAAACTATTTAGTCATAACATTGCTCTGAACTTTGACCTTGCTCATATTTCCACTGCAAAGGATTGTGGGTCAGAATAGGCATGCTGGCCTACATACTGCAAAATGGATGCAGTCCTGGTATTTCGGCATACTGCATATGACATACTATGTATTTGGACATAATAGATATTTCTCTAGCATACTAAATACAATAGTAGAATGGGTATTGGACTTCACCGTTTTTTTGAAGGCTTTAAAAATGTAATTCTCCAACCTATGACAGAATATTTTAGGGAAAATAAGCTGCTTCACAGCTCCCTCCACTTCTACAGGAGGCATTATACAACCGTTTTTACAGACTGAAGAGAACTCCTTGTGACTCGTAAACTGAAATGCATGAGTTACATTGACGGTGTGCATTTTTAAAGACTGAATGGTCGAAGTTTTTTGGATGCTCTTCTAAATGTCTGCTCACCGTAGCTCATCCAGGCAGAGTCTGTTCCTGAGCCGCACGTCTTCGCTGATGGGATACAGCAGCAGGATCAATAACCCTGTCACGATGAAGGCCACAGGGGCGGCACCGATTAGCAGCTTCAGGGTGTACACTACAGGAGCAGGCTGCTTGCAAGCACCGGTGTCATACCCTGCAAATCTACACACACACACACACACATACACAGAGATCCAATTAAAACAGGTTACAGGAAATCGACATCCAATTCTGACGCTGCAATGCTGCAAATGAGCAAACTCATACATCAGCTCTTAGGATTAGTGCATTTCTGCAGGTACCATGACAAATGTGTAAATTAATGGTGCATGTGTGATAAGATGCAGACTCACTCCAGACAGAGGGTGGACACTCCCAGAGAGATTCCAGCAGCGAACTTGGTGAAGAATACGTAGAAGGAGTAGAAGATGGCTTCATGGCCTTTACAGTAGGGGTTGGCCAGTCTGAAGTCATCCACCACATCTGGCAGCATAGACCTGACAAGCACATCAGAGTTGAATTGACATCAATTGGTGCTATTTGTTTTGGCAGGATTCTCTAAGCTTTTGTCTTTATTACTTAACATCGCTGTAAGATTTAGACATGTTTTACGTCGTGTTATAACCTCCCTCACACTCTTAATTTAATTATTTAATACAAAGGGCAGCAGCTGATGTTGTGTCTACATATAGCTGCATTACAGAGCTAATAACAAGATTAGATGATGAGCAGCAGGCGGTACCAGCAGCCTCGGGCCCACTGACAGGATAAACAAACGGCCCCTTCCAAAATAAACATGCCCCCAGGAGAGGCCCCTGTAATTTTGGGTTTTGAGGGAGGGGACGGGAGATGAGTGAGGAGCATAGAAACGGCTGGAAAACAAACAGACACGGAGAAGAATATTGCTTTACCTCTTGCGGTGTATTAGCTCTCTGATGGTATGGGAGATTTATAGTGAACGCCGCCTCTAATTCATAAAAATGACGTCACTCTCATGACCGTGATATGACCCAAGTGAACGGACGGGGCCCTCTAGACTTGTAGTCACCACTAACAGCAGGGTTGTGGTTTAACTAATGACACTTTGCATCAATTCAAAGGGAACTATCATGAGCAGCACGACCACCGCACAGACAGAGTTATAGCAGCACTGCAGTTACAAAAACAATGTCAGGGGCTTAGTGGATTTTCATGACATAATCCCTATTCTAAGAATATAAATTAAGCTGTAGAATATTTATTTTAATACTCAGGATGAGTTGTTTCTGAACTGCTAGGGGAACTGTTGCACAAGAGAAGACGATTCATGTGATCTCAGACTAGATCATTCAGCGCATGAAACCCTCTATTAAACGCTTTTTTCAGAAAGTATTTGGTGTTTTTTAAGGCTTGATCCTATATGTGATGTAAAAAGTGACATTTGTCTTGTAGAATATGGGGGGGAAAGTTTGGGAAATGCATTAACTACACTGCAAATAAAAGTGACAAAAAAGCTATACTAAATGTTATTTAGAATATGTCAGCATTGAGATAACAGTATAGTAGTTTGTAATGTTTGTATTTGTTTTTTAATTATAATTTAATTTGACTATGTCTCCATATGTGGTTTGTCTGTAAACTTTTAGACTTAATCATTTAAAGGGGCCGGAGGTTGAGGAAGTGACTTGAGTGTGGGTAGGATGTGGAAAGTAAATATTGGTGTTCATTATATTTATCGCCTGCTCTGGAAAGATTTATGAAGGGATCTTTCAAAAACGACTAAGAAGTGAAAAAAAGGGATGATCTTCTTGAGTGAGGTATCATTTGATGTGCTCTGGAGTCTAACCATGGCAGCAGGAGCGAGGCCGCCACACTGAGTCCAGAGGAGACGGCCACGACGTAGGCCACCACAACGTTAGGGATGAAGACCAGCATCAAGGTGAAGGGCATGATCCACTGGACAGAGAGAAACAAAAAGTCTTATGGATAAGGAGACCACATTCCCATCTTTGTCCACAGGGTGGCACAGGCAGTGTAATAGTCAGCGTTAAAACAAACCAAAATAAAAACAGTATACTCACAGTGATGCCGCAGAAAGCTGCCGTCTTTTTCCCAAACCTCTCCAGAAACCATTGCCACACCGGGACGCTTATCACTGCAGAAACCTGGGTAAACCAGCGCAAATGGATAATGAGTCACACATAGAAAGAAAATAGTTTTGATTGTGATTCAGTAAGTAAGAAAGGCATTGTCATGATGTTTATGTATGGGTAAAAGTGTGTGCAAATGTGCAAAATTGCTAGTTTCCCTTAACAGAATAACATGTATTGTATAAAAGATTATGTTAAAAAGTTGCTATAGCTTAACTCAAGGTCTAATTGGGGTCACAGTGGTTCATATCATAGTATATCTTTGGGTGTTTCTGGGTGAATCTCCACTCACCAGGATGGTCAGCACAATATTCTGGAAGTGATCCCTCAGGTCGGCGGCGTAAGTGCAGAAGAGCACGAAGTTGCTCTGTACCAGCTGCAGAAATCAGAGACCAAATGTTCAGATATTCAGACGTGTCTTGTCTACTCAGCACTGTCGCTGGAGTGCCAATAAGTGACTGGAGAAGACTGCTGACGGCTTTTCGCAGTGATTTATTCCCACTGCGGGGCTCACATGGATGACAACTGACACCTCCACCGAGATGAGGGGGTGAAGATATACAGAAATAGATATGATGCAAAAGTTGGAAGAGTCTGCAATAATTGACACGGCCTAAACCCCAGGTGCCAAAACTAAAGCATGGGCTTACAAGTGACAGACAAACAGCGGGAATGTGCTGCTCTGCTTTCCCTCTGGAGAGACTTAAAACCTGCTTTAAACCAGGAGCTTTCAGTAAGTGCTCCTTTATATTGATCGAATCAACATCGAGCGCCAGCAATTCTCCCGCGTTGCCAGAATCCAGCCAGGACTCCATTTACTGTAACGCTGAGTGTCTGAGATTAGATAAATGTGCTTTTACCTGAATGGCGACAGTGATGAAGAGGAAGGCAGCGGTCAGAGTGAGGTATGGCCCGTGTCTCATCACCAGGATGAAGCCCTCATGGAAGGGGACCTGCTTCTCTGTCCTCGGGGCGTACGGATCTGAAACAGTTACACAGGAATTAGAATTATGAGTATGCAGCGTATCGAATAACATGCAGGATGAGAAAAGCGATGCGATGGCTAACTGGAGATCCTGGAACTGCCACTGCATTGCAGTACCTGTGCTGTTTGTCAGTTTGAATAGAGATCAGAGAATCAGAGCTAACACTGGCAGATTTCCAAGTAGTTCAGTGACACTCACTGTGTGTGAAAAGTACAAAAAGAGACGAGGAAAATGGAACAGTGAACACTGCTGTTACGTATTATGCATCTTACACAAGTCACCCAAAGGGATGCCCTCAGGTTGCTCCAATTTTACTGGTTGAAATTAAAAATGTATTACCAAATGTGAAATAGCTCATTAGGGCTCATTATTAACACTTATGTCTTTCTATATTCATATGTGGATTGTTATTGAATTAATCATTTGCTCATAAAATGAAGATTTAAAAAAAAAAACAATAGTACTTAAAAAGAAAGTATGCTCCCAGAGCCTAAGGTGACATCTTCAGATTGAATTTC